AAATCCCCAGAGAAATTGTCAATTCTCAAAAAATAACGAATAGAAAATAATCGATTCAGAAATCAAATAGATGCATATATAAAAACAAATCTCCTCTTTCAAATCATTTGGCAGCTAAATCAAAGATCAAATAATCGATGCCTAGATTAAAAGAATGACGGTTCGAAAGGGCCCGAGAAATAGATAAATTAGTCGCTAATTATTTGATTGTCATTCCGATTCCTGCCAGATCAATAGCTACGATTTGGATTTAGAAAATTATAGTTGCGGCTGTCCCGAACTAATTTTCTTAGAGAATATAAGTCGGCTGTGCCTGTCCACGGAAATTCAAGAATTCCCAAAGAATAGCAACCTGCTGTTGCGATCAAGTTGCTGCATGAAAAGTCCAGGGTAAAGGACGACCAAAATCTCTGACATTACTGCTCGTACACCCCCGATCAAAAATCTTAAAGATTTCTGAAAACTTGGAGTAACACTTCTTCTTCTCGGACGACTTTGGCTTTCACGACTGCTGGGAGGAACGAGGTTTCCAATCATAGAAGTCGTAATTATTTTTCGTTCCCGTGTATTCATCTGCAATGGAGAATCTTCCCTATCAGGCGGAAGGGGTTATTGATACTATCCCAAAACAATTTCATCCGTCATCATCGTAATAAAGCTATCTCCTTTTCGCAATAGCAATCTCAGAACCGCATGGGAACGGTTTCGTTACACCTGGCAGTCTGATGTGTTGGGTGCAGCACATTATGAGCGTCAACATCCTGAAGGTAGTTGACTGCCAGTGTACAGTGTGCAGAGAGAGAGAGAGGCTCCCGAAAATATCTTGGCTAGCTCCTGCCTGGCTGGAGATTGGGGTCTGGGCGTTGACCAGCGCGACCTTGCCATCTTGATATTTAAGAAGGCTATTCGTTTTTGCTTTAGAACAACCTACAAAGTAGAACGGAAAGGCTATCGTTCGCTATAGAACCCAGCGTGCAATACTCGCAAGGGGTCAGAGAAAAGGTTTTTCATGATCCTACGCCCTGCCTCCAAAGGGCATCCCGAAGTTGCGAGGACAGGCGATGGGGCAGCACCGGTGTCTTGTACAACCTGGGTCTGGGAGGCGCCTTTGTGTATCTTCTTCATTTGGCTGCACACCCCCAGTGCGGGAGCTGTCGGGGTTAAATCTCGTAGCCCCACATGGGGCCACATATTCGGGTTCATGAGTCGGATACCCATGAGGAATGGAGTAGCGAGGATAATTTGATGTGCTGAAATGTCAGATCGGCATGGCTCACAACAAAAAAAATACATTTTCACGCAGAATATTGTGTTTAGTATGGTGTACTGTGAAACTTGTCTTCGCTTCACAGATCTCCAACGCCATGACACTTAGAGCCGAGGACAAGCCCCAGCCTCACCAGGATGCTAGCATCATATAGCCACCGCTTTGGGAAACTGCCCTCTACATTGGTTTGCTTCCAAGTGTCCTCCGCTGCTGCGCGGAGGCAACAGCTGAGGACACATCTACAAACAAGGAGGCTTGTCATTGAAAAGGAGCCTGACCTGTGCGAGGGTGTGTATGAAAAGATTTCGCTTTGAGACTTTAGTGAAAAGCTTTGATCTCATCCCAGCTCATGATTTGCCACTCGCTCTCTATCTCTCTCCATGTATATTAAGGTAACCGGTTACCACAGAAGTCTGGTAAACGTTGGAAGCCTTCATGCTCATGCCGCTGCTGCCGCGCGCTGTCCTGCAAATTATAAGCTCCGTGCTCGGGGAAGTCCGTGCGATTGAAGAAGGTATCCTCACTGTGATCAATTGTTGTTTCCATGCATCTCCTTCTTTAGTTTAATGATCCGGTGCGGATACATTACACGCATGAAAGACCCTGTTGCTGCCACAAACCCAGGGGACTCGAAGCTACGTGTTTCAGCGGACTGCTCCAGAGCCAGAAGTCTCAGCACATAATGTCTACTTGCGAGGTCTGAAGTGTCTAACCTTTACACCCAAGAAATGATGTCACAAGTGAAACGATTGCAGCTCCACGCTCGCTGTGGCTGGAGCGCTTGGAAAGAATGAAGCTGGGACAGCTGCCAACAAAGGCTCGTAGCCGATTCCGAGGCCATTCCGGGCTGCAAACCTCAAGGCATCAATGCAAGGATCTTATGATGCTAGAGCCATTATATGCTTTTGGGGGCGAGTCTGTGCAACAGCTAGATATGGGGCTGCAAATCCCGCTTAGCAGTCGTTGTACCTGGAGGAGCCTTCATTTAGTTGAAGTGTTTCGTTGCAGTGCTTTCGTGTGCGATTCCAGAGTCAACGGCAAGAGGCGAGCACGAGCAGTGAGAGCTTGTAGGCTTACTGCCACCTTCTTATGGTATGCAGCATGCGTTCCCCTCTCTTAGGGCAGGGCTGTCGACTCGCATCCGCAGCATCACTGTCCTGGGTTCTGCTTGCATTGGGCAGCAGGCAGTCAGGCAGGGTAGAAGGCTTCACAGCTGGGCTTGACAAGCGTCTCCGTGTAGAAGGTGGAAAGCAACGATCTTGTCCGGGTCACCTTCATTGCGCTACTCAAGCACCTGACCCAAGCAAGCCCATCTAAATGAGTCTTCAAAACTGTACAAGCAGTATCTCCAACCTTGCTAGATCACGTGGAACCTATCCACCCGGTACTGTACGGAGCTGTCAAACCAATTCACACAAGCCCCCCAGCGCAGCAACCTCCCTAGACCACCAATGCCAGGCCTGTCCACCCTGCGACATCCACGTGTCGTGCAGACACGAACTCCGTCTCCGGGTCCAGGAACTCCCATCTGGGCACCTGCCTCAAACGTCTCGAGGACTTTTTGATCTTTTGTTGTTATTACTCTGTTACATCTTGCCCGCATGCTTCTCTCAGCTAGTCCCCTGTTCTTCCTGGACTCTTAGAGCTTGCCAGTCCTGTCTTTGTTATTTTCGCGAGAGACTCGGACTGTTCTGATCATCTTGCAGAGGTCCGGGCTTGAGGGAGACTGGCAACTCGTTTTCGAACCTTGACAGAAGAGTAGTTCCGGGAATCGTTTGTTCGGTTTCTTCGAGGCGTAAGTACCATAAAGCACCATGCGACCATGCGGGGCCCGGACGCCACTCGCTCCCCAGCGCGCAGGAATGCACTGAATGCTTTCTGGTCATGCTCGTACGGATGCTCATACATCCATACCTGGGTTCTGGGTTCGCTTGCAAAGGACCGTTCAGCAAGATAGCGTGGCGGCACGCAGCTCATGTCCCAAACCACATCCATCTTCTACTGGAATGCTAAGGGAAGCACCAGCAGCTCAGCCAGCCTGAATGTCAGCTTAGATTGGAGCATTTGGTCTGAGACAAATCCTCATTCCAAACCAGTCCGAGTCTTTGAAGGCAGCTTACGATCCAGTCAAAGCGAGGCAAAGAACGTACCCTTTGGGGATGGCTGCTGGGTGCGACTTAGTTTCCAAGATCGCATAGACTCCGTGGCGCGGAACAGAACGATACCTGGATGGTGCCCAGCCGCTCACTGTTTACCCCACGAAGCACTGACACAGGCTTGGATTGCCGATCATGATCCCTGATTATACGCAAAGGGACAAAAGTGAAAAACGAATTCTGTTCCTCTAACAGGAAAACTCCTCACCAATTCTCATCTTGCAAACTCCATCTCAAAAACCTTTCTTGGAGCTTGGCAATGTGGAGCTCGTGTCAGCACCACTCCGCACCCTGGACCAAAAGTGGCTGCTAACACTTCGCAGTCAAGCGGCCGCTGCCTCAGTTTACCAGCTCTGCTCATCACAAAGCTGCATGCGCATGTGTGAACACCACAGGGTGATCTTTCTGCTGAGCTGCATATGCAGTCCACAGCAAACGAGCCGGAGATCAGCAGCTCAAGCCCAGTATTGGCCCGCAGCTGCCGGACCACTGGCGTGGTCGGAGACTGGAAGAGGAAAACGTCCAAGTCCAGCCTTGCATCGAATTTTCAAGCTCAGGCACATTCCCAGTGCTTCTGGGAACCCGGCCACATGACATCTAAATCATGTTGCAATAGCACCTGGGATAGCTTGACAAAATCTTCTCTTCAATCCTTGTTGCCCTACCATCCATAGGCACAGAACTGAGGCAACTACGAGCGGCAAGGTGAACTTGTTCAGTATCCTCCATCATGAGGCTCCAGCTCATGCAAATCGAGCTGCAAGCAGGCAAGTATCTAAGGTCCTCACGAGGGGGTCCCTCGAATACAGTGGCCGTTCACAGATCGGCAGTCGGCTAAAGCCTCCCGACAAGATGACAAGCTGACGCAAGTGTGGTGACGAATCCACCAGTGACTCCACCAGTGTAAGCTGCTCTTAAGCTGCTCTTGGCCTCTGCATCTAAGCAGAACACCAGAAGCTCGGCCCCGATCCCAAGCGCAGTTGCTCGACCTTTTGGCAGATGCAGAAAAAAGGCCGACTCTGCGTGATGCTCCCAAAGGCATCGGCCAATGAAGCGACTGACGTAGGGACTGAAGCGAGGCCCATGGGCCATTGTCGCCTCAGCGGCAGGCCGCAACAGTTTAGGAACATCTAACTGGGTTGTCTGGCACCATTCTACGGGCGACTTCAATCCGGCTCAGGCTTCCGAGGTAACGGCATAAATGAGTCGCAGCCTGGGCAGGGGTTTGCGCAGCATGTTGAGTCTCTGCCGTCTGAGCCATCAACGCGAGCACACATCTCAACGGTGAAGCGTATCTGGCAGTCAAAGGCCCAGAAAGAGCGTTGAAAGTGAAGAGGGCATGCTTGTAGAGGCTACAGTGACATGGTTGCTTTGTAGTCAGAGCGCAACTGCACAACTTGGTGTCAGCACCTGTCAGCAAAAACATCTGGCTCTGAAGCAACCCTCGAAGACATTGGAAGTACATGAAGTACGTAGCGCAAACGGATGTAAGGTCGGCCAAACTCGAAGTTCGAAGTGTTGAGCCGAAGTGCTTGATTCATCCCGAGCCTTAGCAAGCTATTTGCTGGGCCCCAGGCGGTAGAGCCTTAATGCCCAGCCGAGTAGCCTGGGGCGAACAGTGCTAAGAAGCTCCAAGTCCAAATGAAGCATCGCAAAGAATGGGTAGTGAAGGGTGTTCTTGTGGTGAACTCATGACGCATGAGCCCAGGCCGATACCCTGCTCACGTCTTGAGGTGTAGAGTGTAGAAGTGCGACAAAGCCTTTTGGCTGAAGGTGCGCCACGGACAGCTTTTGGCAAGGCTTTTCGACAGGCCTGTCTACAGGAAGGCAATCAAATCGTGCAGGTGCATGTACCCAGAATTGAAATTCTTGCAGCCTGCATCCTGAGTCTGGGTATCTTCATTTGGCAGACCAAGCCCGATCGAAGACCCAAGACTAGCTCCGAAGAGCACGTGTGACCTGAGCTGTTGGCAGTTCGGTCAGCCGCCTCGTGGAGCTTGGGAAGGCACACCTGGCAGAAACCCTGTTGCTGCAGACGTTCTGCGGTATTGCTTGGTTTGTCCGCTGAAGCGCTTCTTTCTTTTGTTTACGATGCTGCAGCCCAGCCTGCTGAGCTTGACGGTCCTAGACCCAAGACCCTCTTGTCCCAAGCTTGCTGTCAGGTTGCCTGAAGGTCCTGCCTGGGCAGGCTGCAAGGGATATCAACGTTGTTTTTCCACAAGTGCACAAGGCAGACGCGGTGCTGCCCTGCCTCATGCGTAGATATGGAATCATAATAATGAATCATATGGAGGTATCTTACGTCACGCCACTTTGATGCATGATGTATTACCACTTTTGCCCCGACATGTTGTAACATCCCCGCAAGAATTGCGCTCAGTGTCGGGCATTGAAACAGAGGCATCTGCCTGCAGCAGCGCTCAGATGTGGGCAGCGCATGACGCCGACAGTATTTGATGTAAGTTTGTGCCAACGCAGCCAGGCAGCAACTTGCTGATGACCATCTGGAAGGGGCCTGATACTCAAGTTTGCTGAAAAATGGCCTGTACGGATGTGTCTGACACCGACACCCTCACTCTCGTGGTAACGGTAGGTCTGGACACCAAGACTAGTTTTCCAGGAGGGCCTCATCAGCAACTCACTGGGTGTGAAGTCCAGCTGAAACCTGTGTCGCCTGCGTCAGGCATGCATCAAACCAACGAAGAATACGTGCTAGACGCTGCTAGACAGTGGTGACAATGACTGTTACCAAGCTCTTGCAGCAAGCTACACAGACTTGAGGTTGGAGCAGGCCATCTGGTTGCGAAACATGCTTGAAGCAGAGGCGTCAGGCTCAATAGTCACAATGCACTTCCGACGTCCCACCGGCCTCACAACCCGAGATACATGGCCTAGGCTATGTTGCTCTCGATTCAGTTTCAGCCAAGAAGAGCGCTTGCACTAAACGCGCTTATGTACACCTTGCGCGTATGAACAAATCTAGGCAGGCCGAGCAACCCAGCATACGTAGTATGGGCCATCCACTTGCTGCCACTTGCTGGAGCGAAATCTCCTCCAGCACCGCCCCCAGCATCGTCGCATGCGCCCTGAAGCAAACGGACTCGGTATGCGAGCAGAGCATGGCCTTCACCAAATTCGCCGTGGCAAAACCCAGGGGACATTCCCGGGCAGCTTCCCTCCACTGTTGTTCCAGTTCAGGCCCATAGGCAACATCTACGGATGGTTGATACCAGTCTTTGAGGGCGAAGACATTCTTGAAGGCAGCCCAGTTCAAGATCTGCTTGCCAGGGTCTTCGCAGGCAAGGTCATGCGGGTCATCTTCTTTTCTTGGCACCCGGTCCCAAACATCCGAATGAAGCGACTCATAGATTGGCCAGCGTGTGCCTTAGACTCACCAGGCAAGCAGCTTCTACTTCAAGGCCAAGCCCGAACTCTACTGGAACCATCAGTCAACCCAAGACCCTGAAGCCCTGAACCCAAATCTTCAAGTCAGATCCCAAGGACCCATTAGGACTCGCAGGCCGAAGAAGCCCAGGCCCTGGCGCACCAGACGCTCGAAGGTTTCGGAGCACACCTGGAGCTTGTCGAAGCAGGCCAGCATCCTCAGCATAGTTCCACCCTCCAATCTGGTGATATATGTGATATCCTGCTATATCCTGCTGGCATGCCATGCTAGGCGACTGATCGTGAGAAAGTCTGAAACCCTGAGCATGGAAATCGAACGATTTCATATGAGGAGACCCTTCCCAAAAAGAGCGCCCAACTGAAGCATGATAGGCTCCGGAGGATGTCGGCCATAAGCAATCCAATGGGGCATTCTGAGAGCGCCTGCTCGCGGTTGTTGTCCTTGCATGCTAGCTGTCATTATGACTGTCCAGCTTGTGTTGGGTTTAGGGTGGGGGCTTTTTCTGCATCGTAGTTTCGCAGGGATAAGCAGCAGTCTTCTTGCTACTGTGGTAATTGTATGTGTTGGTACATACGTCTCCATGTCCAGCCGGGAAGCCATGATGGGCATGTTGATAGTTTACAAATGATACTGCATCAGCATACTTCATGCTGCCTACTCCTGTTTTACAAAAAGATCGCTAATCTACGTTTCTTTCGCAGTAGCAGCATTTGTGCCAGCGGCAGTATCAGAATGAATATCAGTAGCAGCGCTTCTCGTAGCGGAAGTATTACCTAATCTACTAGTGCTTGTACTGGCTCTAGTGCAACTACTGCTGCTGCGCATGCTGTCCCGGTGCAACTGCTACCCAACACTCCCACGACCACCATCCGCCCAGTCTCGGTTAGGATGGACAGGGGGATCCTTGAAACAGCGAGCCATCCTTCGCCCTTGGGATCCTGCAGCGCCTGCAGCCTGGGCTACTGGACAATTCCAATAAAACACGTGGACAAAATCGTCATCACCATTGTATTTACAGGAAGAAGCCTTGGAAAGTTCGCACGAGTTAAAATCATAATAATTGCAGTGATCTTCCGTGCCGTGTGGACTTCCACCCTTGTGGAAAACTGATGGGCATTTGGCAGAAAATGGCAGAAATCTGTAGCCTGTGGCATTCCCGCACATCTTTTACTACTTGATAAAATGCACGTGATCAACTTTGTAGCTTGGCTGCCTACCCGAGTGGAAAGCTCTTTCCATACCCTTCTAAACTTTTCGGGGAGTATCCCTCCTCGTGAAGCTGAGGCGGTGATAGCCACAGGACAGCGGCCAATACACCACTACAATTACAGGTCACGCATACCTGCATGCCATCAACTTGAGTTTGGAATAGGGCCGCCAAGGCCAAAGAAAGCTCTTTCAGGCACTGGGACCAGTCGGACCACTGCAGGAGTGCATCCGCTTTAGGTCGTATGCAGTCATAGTCTGGGAGGAGAACCTCACAGGATGAATCAGCATGAAGAGAACATCTTCCTAAACGCATTACCGGAGGTCGTCATGGTTATGGTCAAGAGTCAAGATTATCCAGCGATTCTGTGTTCATGCCTTGTCACAACCTTCCTCGATTAGGAAGCATTTGATTCGTTTAGATGCTGTTCCATATGATGTCACATTCTCTTTTGACTTGCCAGCCTCAGGATCTTGGACAAGTGCTGCAGCTTGCAGGAAGCCCACAATACTTGTGAACCACATGGCGGATGCATGGCTACGCGCATGGCGAACTGGCAGCAATCTGCAGCAACATTCATCACAACAAACTTGTGCTGTTCTATCGTCATACGAATTTCTTGCAGGGTCGGATGATCAAGCTGCTGAGGCTCCCATCGAAGTTACATGCATCCTAAAACCTTGAGTCAAGTGCAGACTCAACAGGAGGAAATCTTTGATTCCAAGCATAGCTCTCCAGCTGTAATTGTGGTGCCGCGCTGATCTTTAAGCATGATCGTGCGCTAATGGTTTGGAAACCTTCCGCCTTCCTGCTCCCTGTGTTACCGTACGAACATCTCCAATGGCAAAAAGCAGCCGAGATGGCCCACAGAACCGCTGAACCTCAGACATTGAGGCCTCAAATCCAACAAGCTACAAGCTACAAGTCTACTGGAGGACAACTATACAGCTACCTGTCATTGGATGATGACTGCCAATGTCATATTTCCAACAACATCCAGCGAATGTGCTTGAATTTCTGGAATCGGAATTGCGCTTTTGCCAGTGAAGAGCCCGGCAAAACTTAAAACCACAGTATCCGCGCAAGGTCAAGCGACAACTCCGGCAGCAATCATGCTCTTCACGGAAGCCACATTTCAAGAGAGCGCTAAGCTTTGGACGGGCTACTTGCTACACTGACAGGCTAAGGGAACCTGCCGTAGAAGCACTGCTGTATCTCAACACTTGTGCCACAATGCAACTTGCACCCAGGGCTCAAGCACACAAGACATCAAGACATCTTTCTGGCATGCTTATCTTGCAATGAAGACTTGGTTTAGGACGCCCGACGATGCTGTCCTGGTCGTGCCGTACGTACAATAGCGCAAGATAGAGCCAACTGGCTGAGCAACAGACACTTGAGGCCTCAGGCCCTGAAGCAAGTTGTACAGTTTAACTTTTTTGCATACCGGCAGCTGGGTAGCTGACCAGATAGCGACAATCATCACATCTGAAGAAGCACCCAGCCCGTGCTTGAATGCCTAAAATCTGGGAGACACGCGGAGCTGGTCCTTACAGGAGCTGTTGGCAGCAGAGTCCCAAATATGGTGTCTCACAGACTCATCAGCGGCCCCACATTTACAACATAGTGTGCGGTCACTGACTTTGCCAGCATGAAAGCGTCTATTCCTAGACCACAGCGCGCTGGCAAGCCTCCGACGAAACTGCAGGATCGCCGCCTGCAACCTACCGGCTGCCTAGAACGCATGACAAGGGCGATGCACCTCCCAAGTTATGACCGAAACCAGGGAAAAGGTCGCGCTTGACTACGATGCCCATGCCGTACCTGGAATTGGCACGCATGGGAGCACCAAGCACCCCACAAACATTGCAATGCAGTTGAAGAACTCGATTTGCTTGGCAGCAGTACTGTGTCTCTTGAAGACATAAAATGTCGTAACCGTAACTGAGCAGCGCAATGCATCTACCCGACCTGACCAACTCATCCGAATTGAACGAAGCCAGCCAGCATGCGGTAAAGCGTGATGGCGTATTATCGTGCAAAAAAAGTTCCTTGTAGCAATTCGTACAAAGAATCATTCCCGGCAGTCGCTTTTGTTCACCATCACGCGGGGCAACCATCGCAGTGTAGTGTATTCCTGCTGTTGCTACCCCAGCGCACTGAGCCTGGTATGCATGCTTCTGTGTCCATTAATTCCGCAATCTTTCGGGCGATTTCATTGACCGCCTTGCAATGTACCTGATTGGCACCGGATTAGTAAATGGGCTCTTAATAGGGCAAAGTTTTGGCTGAATGGATTAATAATGGATATACGGAATAGAGCGGACTTTTTGCCAAATTGTAAACCGGAATGATCCCCGGCAATGGAAAGTTCATTGGCAGCGCGCGAGCCCCCCCCACACAAGTTTGCCGAAATTGCATTGGGCAACCCAGACTTTTTTCGCATCCTCTACTTGTTTTGGGGGGGAGGGGGAAGGGCGGAGCGGGGGGGCTCCATGGCGCCAATCTGCGCCTCAAGGCTGAAGTAGCACGCCACCGTTTTGCGTCAGCAGTCGCTGACTTCGCAGAGCAGGTGCTAGCCACGCAGGCCCAACACTGCATAGTCTGCGGTGCCACGAAGGCATCTTTGCAAGGCAAAGCGAGGACACCGGCGGCTATCATGCTCTTCACGGAAGCCATGCTTCAAAATAACGAATGGCACGGACAAGCGCAGCCAAGATCTGCAAGGCACAGCCATATCAACTGTAAGACCGGATGGTAGGACAAAGTCCCTCCCGAAGGAACACTGGATTGCTTGGCTTGTTTTTCGCTAGACATCCTCGGTGCTTGCCATCCTTTCAGCAGCTCCGTCTGCTCAACCCTGACAATCTGCATCTGTGAGGGAAGGTCTGTAGAAATCTGTTGCAGCACCCGTTGCTTCGAATCTCGTACGGCCTTGACTTCACACATGCGGCAGCCTGGGCTGCTATGTACAGTGCAAGGGTCTTTGCCCTCAGTCCATCCTGTTCAGATCCTGAGGAGTAGTGTGCAAGTCATGGTGCAGGACTGATACAGTACAAGCCCTGGCTCAGCTGCCGGCAGAGCCACTTGGCTGGGCAGGCCTGAAGGCAAGGACAAGGATCGCAGCAAGCATGAGATGTTGTTTGAAGTTTGAGGGACGCTGTTGCTGTCCTGCCAGCTGCGGTTTTTGCCCAATGTTACGCGGCTAAGGCGCTGGCTGGACGTACACACTGCCGCGCCGTCGACCGACTGGTGGTCCATCGGGCGGCTTCACCCTGTCTTCAGCGGCAAATGAATTTAGTAGAGCTTATCTGCAAGCTCACAATGATTACAGCAGTGGCAGCTTCGGCAGCTTCGGCTTAAAGCTGCCAGGGCTTCGCTTTAGCTGTGGAATGTTGGCCGCCAGAGTGCAACTCCATGCAACACATGCGCTAGCACGGTCCTGCGACATGGCAGATTGACTTCTATAACTCTTTAGATTGGGTGGTGTGTTATTTGCCACTGGTTTTTGGTCATGGTGCAAGCAGTGGTAAGATCAACAGAAGGGTTCTGTGTGCTCCACTGATCTCGACTACACTTCGGGGGACCGGACTGGCCCATTTCCTTCGGACACTCTGTCGGTCTAGGATTGCGTGAGGATGTTTTTTTGGTGGTTTAGGATGCAGTATCGCGCTGCCAGGCTGAGATGCGTACTCTATATCCTTCTTGCCTTCTGTCCTGCAGTAGCGGTCAGAGCAAGATGCTCCATCTGCGCCTATGCTGTTGCGCATGGCATCTGGCACTCAGCAGTCCTTTCAGCAGGCACCACGTGGCCTGCACTGAAGCACTTGGCTTGATGAAGCAAAGATTTCCGGTAGGCTGCGCCATCCACGGGTAGCTTGTGGAATGGTGTGGCTGATGCGGTGGCCTGCTTCTTTCGATACTCCTCTCCCATCTGACTGATGGCTATCCTGGGATGTAGGTTTGGGACAAGGATTGCGGGTGAAGGATATGGGCCAGGCGTTCAAAGCCCTCGCAGGGAGACACAAACCCCGCATGCGTTTGTCTGACGTCATCTCGGGCCATCGCAGAGCTCTGCTGTGTGGTCGTCCTCCGCAGGCGAGGTTATAATTCATCAGAGTTGGCCGGCCGGCCGGCCTCACTCTATCTCGCCCTAGTTTAGAAGTGCAGTGCAATGTGATCTAA